CTCTCTCTCTCTCTCTCTCTCTCTCTCTCTCTCTCTCTCTCTCTCTCTCTCTCTCTGTTTCTCCTTTGTGCTTGTGGGCCAAGATGTGAAATCTCAGCATGGCATCCTGCTCTAGCTGCCAAGGCTGCCTACTGCCTCTGTCACTATAACCCTCTGGAACTCCAAGCCTAAAGAAATTCTTCCTCAGGGCTTTTGAGTAAATTCTGTGATCATCTAACAAAACCAAATGTGTCTATAGCATTATAACTTCTAAACAAATGGGATAAATAAATTATCAAATAAGAGCACAAGTGTATATACACAATGATTTTAGGGAATAAGTACTTAAAATAATGCCTTGCAGAAGTGGGAAGATGAAACAGGGTGCAGCAATACAGAATAATAGAACTGCATATTAAAGAAAGACAGATAAGCACATGATGTTCAATGAAAAGAGCTAGTAGCCAAATGATGCACATAACACTGATGAGGTATTGGTGGATTTTTAAAAATTCTAAAGCACTATATTATGTGGTTATAACTAAACTACAACTAGAAAGATATATGTTTACAGAATATAAGTTAATGACCATAGCCAAGGAGAGTACCCAGATGCTATGGCTGGAATTTAAGTGTCTTTTAAAGGCTTGTTTAAAGTCTTGGTGCTCAGGACGGTAGTATTGAGAGAGGACTTTTAAAGGTGGGGCCTGGAGAAAAGTCCGTAGGTCATTGGGGGCATGCTCTTGAAGAGTATTGTGGAACACTAGACCCTATTCATTCTTGCATCCTGGCTGTGAAGGTTGTTTTACCCCACCCCTGCATGCTTATGTCATGATGTGTTGTCTCGACATAGGCTCAAAGCAATGGAGTCAAAATCATGGACCATAAAACTGACCAAAATAAGTCCTTTCCCTTCATAAGTTGATTACATCAGGTAATTTGTTATAGCAATAGAAAGCTGGCTAACACATCAGCTCTGCATGATGTAGGTAGGCATCAGTTCTCTCTGTACAAAATGAGGGCCTGTCTCCTTGTCCATACCTGAAAACCAGCATACTAAATTCCCTATTTCTGAAGTAGTGCTGGGAAGCATTTGAAAGAAACATCTATCTTTTCTTCCGTCTGAGAGCTCCCCTCTCCCACTGTCTCTTGAGAGTTTGCAACCAAGGGAACAAGGAGTGACATTTTTGTTTAGTCTTGTTTTATTTCATTTTGTTTTTCCTGTTCCTGATCCAGGGGATTTGGGCAAACTTGGGTTTCTCTCTTCTGAAAAACCACAAGGAACAGCAAAATAAGTCTGGATCAGAGCATCTCATTCTGGCTCCCCCTGCTCTTTCCTCTGTAGAGCCAGGCTGTCTCTAAGACTGCGGGAAGGTATGGCTATGCCCAGGCCTCTTCCCTACTTTGAGCCAAGCAGTAACTAGCTGCAGCTGCTGGAGCCCTTGGGAGAGGGCAAGGCTGCAGATACTTAGAACTTGCAGCTGCACAGTGGGGTAAGAGGGCCCCCACCCAGCCAGAAACCTGGCCAGGACAGAGGTCGACTTAGCACTGAATGATTTCCTAGCTGCAAAGTGCCCTGCCTGGCTGCCAGAGATGAGTGGCAAGACAAGCAGCATTGGAAGGAATTCAGGACAAGATGATGTGTCCTCATGGAATGTCAGCACCTGCCTACATCCTGGTTCCTCTTCTAGAGAACCTTGTCCTATGCGAACCTCTTAGATTCAGGATTACTTGCTCAGCACAGGTATTGATACAGGAGTTAACACTTGAGACAGCAATGGGAAGTTTCACTTGCTATAGATATAACACCCCTGCTCAACTTTTTCCTAACCATGTTCTTGCTGCAGTAGCCAACCTTCTGAAGGGTGGGGTCTTGCTTTCTCAGCCTAGCAGAGTGATTTACAGTGTGTAAGGGAAGCAGGATTTGGAATAGACCAGCATCAAATGAGTCTATTCTAAGTAGATGTTCTTAAATGTACAGAGTTAAAGGTTATCTGGAGGTGATAGATACTATGTCATCATTGAAAAAGAACTAGACTTTTATGCCTTTATTGCCAATGGAAAGTCAAGCGTTTTAGGTGCAGAAGGACAAAGGACAGTGGATAACTCCTTTGCTCTGAGTTGAAGTATTTTCTTCTATTTACTAGAAGAAGATTCTTGAGGCTCAGATGATTCACATGAATCTCAGAAGACACGACATGTGAGCTCCTCCCTGAGATTACAAAAGCAGTGATGATGGCTGAGAGGGCAGAGCCTCTCCAGTGAGTCTGTTCACAGACGGTGGAAGGAGCTCCAAGAATGCAGCTCTCATGAACATTCACCTATGTCTCAGTGGGTATTTAATGTTGGGACATCTTATAATGCTCCTAAAATAATCCCTGTAAACTCTTCAGTTAACTGAGCTAGACTCTGACTCTGGTTTTGTGTGTGTGTGTGTGTGTGTGTGTGTGTGATGTGGGATTCCCCTCTGTATGCTGTGAATGTGTTTTGTTACCATTACATTGGTTAATGAATAAAGCTGCTTTGGCTTATGGCAGGGCAGAATAGAGCAAGGTGTGAATTCTAAGCAGAGATAGAGGAGAAAAGTAGGTGGAGTCGAGGAGACACCATGTAGCCACTGAAGGAGAAAGATGCCCCAGAACTTCACAGTAAACCACAAAACTTGTGGTAAAATACCAAACAATAGGAATGAGTTAGTTTAAGATGTAGAAGTAGGTTCATAAGAAGCCTAAAATATTGGCCAAGCAGTGTTATAATTAATATGGTTTCTGTGTGATTATTTAGGATCTGGGAGGCTGGGAAATGAACAAGTAATCTCTGCCTACAAAATGGTTCCCCAAACATTCAGCAAAATACATCCATATAAAGCCTTAAAAAAAAAGGACTTCTAGACCCACAAAAATGGAAGCCAAAGGTAGCTTCTTGGTAACATGTTGTTGTTGTTGTTGTTTCAGATGGACTCTGTGTGCTGACAGTGAGCAGAGGCAGGGCTCCTCTAAGAGAAGGCTTCCTGACTCAGCAATAGCAGCAAAACCTGTGTGGCTCATTTAAAAAGGCTTCCTGGTTTTGTGCTAGTTTCACACACAGCTTTGGCTCTTTCAGGAGGCCAAGTGTTTAAATTGGGTTTGTAAGTGGCATGTTACTAGTTGCATCCCTGGAAGTAGAGCATTGTACGTGACTCACCGAGTCAGTGAACATGTGTCCACCATGCTGGACTGGGAGGAACAAGCAGGCAGGGCCATAGAGGTGGTCCTAGCCATGCCCATTTAGCATTAAAAAGACGGGGGTTTCCAGGTCAGAAAATGATTGCATACATGCAATAAAGACAGATTCAGACAGAAATAAACCTCTGAATGGGTCACAATTTTGGGTAAATGTATGTAAGGTTGGGATAGAAAAGAAAAAGAATATAGACAATTATAAAAAGAAATAGGTTTAAAAAATAAAACAAAGTCTTTAAAGAGACAGTAAAGGTAATATAAAAGAGTATAAAAAGTCATAGATGAAAGTAGAGAAAAATAAGCCACATAAAGATGAAAAATACACAGAGAGTATGGATTATGTATATTATTGTATTTTTTGAATTTTTAACTGTGAATGAGCTAAGTACAGAGAGATATTTGATTCTGGGGCCTGCTATGCTAAACCAATGTGTATATTTTAAAGGTACCTTGACCTCAACATTTGGGTCTATGGATATGTTGCTTTGGAAAAGAGATATAAATATTGTAGCTGTAACTCTTGCTTGATACCTATTTTGTTATATGTAATTTTATTATGTTAATGTTAAAAATCTTCCTTTTTATTTAGACAGAAAAAGAGAGGTGATGTGGGATTGCCTTCTGTATGCTCTGAATGTGTCTTGTTACCTTTGATTAATGAATAAAGCTGCTTTGGTTTATGGCAGGGCAGAACAGTGCAAGGCAGGAATTCCAAGCAGAGATAGAGAAGAAAAGTAGGAAGAGTCGAGGAGACACCATGTAGCCACCAAAGGAGAAAGATACCCCAGAACTTAACCGGTAAGCCTCGTGGTAAGATACAAAATAATAGGAATGGGTTAATTTCTGCATGTACTGGCTTTTTGGGAACCTATTCTATTTGGTTGCATACCTTCCTAAGCCTGGATGGAAGGGGGAGGTCCTTGGACTTCCCACAGAACAGGGTACCCTGTCCTCTCTTAGGACTGGAGGGGGAGGGGTAAAGGGTGAGGGGAAGAGTAGGAAGGAAGTGGGAGGAGGGGAAGAAGTGGAAATTTTGAATGGTATTATATATAAAGTAATAAAAATTATTAGAAAAAAAGGTGTAAGAGGTAGTTCATAAGAAATCAAAGCTATGGGCCAAGCAGTGTTGTAATTAATATAGTTTCTGTGTTATTATCCAGGTCTGGGCAGCCAGGACACAAATGAGTGGCCTCCAACTATGTGTGTGTGTGTGTGTGTGTGTGTGTGGTCAATTGTTGGTGTCCTATCTGAGCTGAATAGATTTTTGTTTACATGTCCTCAGGAGAAGTAGCATACGGCATCATTACAGTCAACAAGAATGTGCTCAGTATCAGTAATCTTTAGGAAATAGCAAATCAGACCCACACTGCCCTATAAGCTCATATCTACAATGATAATCATCATCAAAAATAAAAACTGACAAGTGTTGGGGAAAATGAGGAGGAATCAGAACCATTATATCCTGTTAGTGGGGAAGAAAGCTGAAACATCCAATGTGGAAAACAGTATGACGTAGTATGACGTAGGAGTACAATATAATCCAGCCATCCCACTTTGGGACATTTATCATAAGTATTGAGAATGGGATTTCAGAGAGATGTCAGCTTTATTCACTTCATTGCAGTTTTATTAACAAAACCCAAGATATATAAACAATTTCAATACCCATTAAGGGGACCAATAGTTGAAGGGAAATGTGGTACACAGTGGAGTATACTCTGCTCTTAAAAAGGAAAATTCTGCCACATGAAACATGGATAAATCAGGAAGACATTATACTAAATAAAATAAGCTAGGTCCAGAATGGCAAAAGCTATATAGCAGTACCCACAGGAAACATCTAAAACAAGCAAATTCATAGAAGTACGCAAGATGGTAGTTGCTGCAGAGTTGAAGGAGGGGAAAATGGAGAGTTGCTATTCAAAGCATCAAATTTCAGCTTCAGAAGATGAATGGACCCTGGAGAGCTGCTATCTTAACTCATGCCCATGGTAACAATACTGTTGGGACTCTAACCATGTGATAGCTACCGCATCAAATCAAAGATGAAGTAATTAACTGATTCAACAAGTACTGATAGAGCATTAATATTTTCAATGCACTATGTAAATAGAGCAGAACTGGGTGTCTGAAAAGGCAACATGAGCAGAGATTTAGTGGAGTAACCGGGCAGGCTACCAATGTACTGAGGGGGCCTCACTCCAGGCAAAAGGACGAATACCCATGAAGAGCCTATAGTGGAGATGCACTGGATTTGTGTGGGAAGACTTAATGAGAAGTTCACAGATATGAAGAGAAAGGCAGATTTCCATAGGGCTGAAGAAGCCATCAGCCTCAAATCTGTCATCACAAAGTATTACTCTCCTATTCCAAGAAAAACGAGGATCTTATGAGTATGAGAGCAGGACAAAGTATTATCTGGTATATATTTTAAATATAATGTATGGAGGTAACAGTCATCTATGAACTAATTTATCTATTAAATGCATAAGCTAAGTCATTTTATTTATTCCCTAGACTCTTCCTATACGCATAACCATCAGTTAGATAAAAAATGTGCTGATCAAGTAATTTCTATGACTCTACTTCCTTATCTATCAAATGGACTCCCCTTTGCAGTCTCTTCCAGCTGTCACATGTTTTGTCTGTGAGAAAGCTGAGACTTGCTTTGCGACCATCTCGCATCTTGCATCTGTACCCAAAGGCTATTTCTTGGAGTATTGTCACACCAACAACAACAACAAAAAATGTGGAAAGCTGCTTCTTGTTCAATAGAACATTCACGCTGCAAAATGCACCATGCGCTGAAGTTGCCTTTTGTGACAGATAATCCCGTTTGTCAGCTTGACACACTGGAGAAGATGAGAGCTCAAGCGAGGAATTCCCTCCCTCAGGTAGGTTTGTGGGCTTGTCTATGGCAGCATTTTATTAATTGCTAATTGACATCGGAAGACATAGCTCATTGTGTGCAATGCCATTCCGGGGTGAGTGGGCCTGGGCTGTATAAGAAACGTATATGGACAAGCCAGAGTAAGTAAGCCAGTAAGCTGCATTCCTACAACGATAATCTTATGTAGCTCCTGCTCCCAGGTGGCTGCCTTGAGGTCATGCTCGAACTTCCCTCAGTGATGGACTATAGTCTGCAAACCCAAGTGGCTTTTAATCATGGTGTTTGTCACAGCACCCAAAATCCAAACAAGGACGCTTTGTGAATACTATATTTTGAACATGAATGCATTTAATATTGTAGCAGAGTTCTGTGACCTGGGAAGGTGGGAATAGAGTAGTTTTCAGGAAAATGGGGATTGCACATTCTTAAGGGAAGATAAATATTTTAGGGTCCAAGCAGTCTTAGTTAATTTGGGCAATGTGCATACTCTAAGCTTTTGGCTTGTAGACCATCCCTGTGGTATGGAAGGGTTTAAACTATTTGCTTGACCCAATGTGATTTCAATAATACTATTTTATTAGCAAAAATATTTTTAAAGGAAGGAGATATAGAAACAGGAGGAGGAGAGGAACAGGAGGATGAGAATGAGTCATTGGAACAGGGACTAAATAGCCATATACGGTTTACAGAAACAGTGGCTTGGGTTAAACAATTGGTAGCTCCTTTGTGTGGCTTAACCACACTTCTTTGTCTAGGTTCTCAAGTCCTCTTTTGAAATGAGGCAGCGACCTGACTTTATTATTATTTTGAGGGATATGTAATATTGTGTCAATTGTGCCTTTGAACTGCGTTTTTTGCATAGTAAATACTTTATGTGGCAGGAGAAACAAGGTAGAGAAAGAGATATCGAGATTAGCACATGAAAGTTGTCTGAGGAAAATTGTAAATCCTTCAGCCATCGGCTACACATGGTAGAGCACATGTGTCAAAGAAGTTTCAAGATCCTCTAGAGAAGACACACTCTAGGTAAATGAATAAATGACCCGTTAAGGATCAGAAGTCATGTGTTGGGGTCTCTTCCCTGCTTACTGGCTCATTGCCACGTCCAGGAGCACTTTCTGAATAAATTGCCTCTATTTTTGTCACTTTCTATGTGTCCTTGATCCAATTCAGTGATTCAGGACATGGGACACAATTCAGTGATTCAGGACATGGGACACAATTCAGTGATCCAGGACTTGGTACGCGTGTTCCACATTATAGTCTGCACCTATACCGTTTAGATGTAAGACATTGTATATCACTAGGAATAAAAAAATGAAGCTTTTCCAATCCTAGCACCTACCACCACACTACCGCTCACACACTGCCAGCTCTAGTCCCTTAACTCAGTCATAAGTAACATTATCTTGGCACTTCAGTGGGTACCATTTCACTCAGCTTCCCAAGCTTATGAGTCCATCATGCTATCACGTAAGAGTCTTGCAGTGGCATTTTTTTAGGTCAAGGAATTGCTCATGGTTTTCTGACACAGACACCTGTTTGGTAAAGCCCTCTGCTATTCCATCGATTTCTCTTGGTAACAATCACTATAGCAGGCTGTCAAAATTGGCATGCATACCAGAAGGACAACATATTCTTTGCATGGAGGGGATTTTCATAGAAAGAGGTGTGCTTGCTGTCTGTTTCACTCTGCGCATCTTAGATGACTCTAGTGACAATATACAGTGCCAAGCATACTGATTTACAATGCAGTGTCTCAAAAGTGTTTCCAAGTTCCAAGTCTTCAGATCAGGACATACTCTTTCCATGGTCTTGAGTTCCCCAGAGAAGATGAAAAGGATCAAAAGAAGCAGCAAAATAATTAATTTGAATAGAATATTTGAAAGTATCAAGCAATCCTTTTCTCTACAAGTTTGGACTTGTCAAAGACACAGCATTCTCACAATGGTTGCAAGACTCTGTACCTACCTCTTTGTTAGGATAGTGTCTTACCTTGGGTTTTTGTTGCTGGGATGAAACACCATGACCAAAAGCAACTTGGTGAAGAAATGGTTTATTTCACTCACTATTTCATGTAACAGTTTATCATCCAAATCAGTGAGGGTAGGTACTCATACAAGGCAGAAAACTGGGGGCAAGATTTGATGGGGAGTCCATGAAGGGGTGCTGCTTACTGGATGACTCCTCATGGCTTGCTCAGTCTGCTTTCTCATAGAACCCAGGATCACCATCCCAGGAATGGTACCACTCACAATAGGTGGGGCGTTCACACATTAATCTCTAATGAAATACCCTACTGGCTTGCCTACAGCCCCATATTATGGAGGTATTTTCTCTATTGCAACTCCCTCCTCTGATGACCATAGCTTGTGTCAAGTCGACATAAAACAAGCGAGGGCAATAGTCTTACTATTGGGACCATATGTTCAATGACCTTTGATCACCATTTATCCTGTATTCACATCTCTAGTGAGCACTGACTAGGATTTTCAGGACTATTATATCTTGTTGATATAATTTTTTTATATTTAGGGGTACACAAATACTTTCTTATGTGAAGCTAGATAAGTAACATTTATAATTTAGCATACTTACCCTATATCTGAGACTCTGTGTGGAAATACTTAAGTTCTACTGTTTATGTACATTAATTATCATGGTTTTTCCCTGTATTTTCTCTGTCTCTAGCATGTTCTCAGATTGGGAATGGTTTGGCCAACATCTTCCTACTCTTCGACTGTTTAAGCGACTTTGTTATTTGTGAGAGTTCACATGTAAGGCTGGTCATGTTGATTTTGTAAGCATTGGAAAGAGTTCATAAGGAAGAGTGTGGTGGCTTGAAAGAAAATGGTCCCCAAAGAGAATGGCATTATTAGGAGATGTGACCTTGTTGGAGGAAGTGTGGTCTTGTTGGAGGAAGTGTTCCCTGTGGGGCAGTCTTCGGGGTCTTTTTCTCAAGATTCACTCAGTGTGCCAGTCAATTGACTGCCTGCCTGTTGCCTGTAAGATAAAGCACTCTCGGCTCGAACACCACGTTTGCCTGAAAACTGCCATGTTCCTCATCAAGATCATAATGGACTGAATCGCTGAAACTGTAAACGAGCTACCCTCAATTAAATATTTTCTTCGTAAGAATTGCCATGGTGACGGTGTCTCTTCACAGCAATGAAAAACCCTAAGACAAAGAGATAATACCATTCTCTGACACATAATCACTGAGCCATTCAAAGTTTCTTTGTTATGTTGGCAGACTTTTTCTAAATAGTCCCAAGTTGTTGCAAGAACATTGAATGACATCTCCAGGTATCGAAAATAAAAAAGATCTGGAACGTTTGCTATATTTTCTTTTCATATTATTTTTATACCTCTAAGTATTTCATGGTGTAAGCTAAAGTTCTCTGCAGGCAGGCCAGCTCTGGGTGACTGACCTTTCTTAACCCTTTCCTCTCCCACACAGCTGCAATAGCTTTCCATAAGATCTCGAGAGAGCAGTTTATCAGCCATTCAAGCAGCAAAGGTCATTTCGAATTTGGTTTGAAATGAGCATGTGCATTCAGGGCTAAGAGTCACTCGGGCCTTGTGCGATCAAACTTTGCTCTTTATTGAGTTAATCGATGAATTAATCATAACAGACCAGCGGAGGCAACAAAGATTTGCGTGCATGCCAGAAAGGGCTCTGCTGATCCCAGAGAAAATGAAATCCATGTTGCAGGACATCCAAAGCCATCACAAAGAAAATTCACAATTGTGTTTCCAGCTTAATTGCTCGTGGTTGAAAGGAAAACAATAGAAACAAGGTTTTGTTTACATAGAGCATGAAACTTTGTCCTGGGAACTTTTGTTCTCCTCATAATTTCCAGCAATGTGAACATTGAGTGCTGACTGACTGTGTGGAATTTTAAAGAAAGAGCAAAGAAAAAGCCAATGTACAAGTTAAGAAATGTTTCCAATGTCAGAGGTTGGTAAAGATTTCCTCTTTGTAATACAAAAGAAACAAAGCTGTAAGGGCACAGGTGAAGAAATTCAGGAACTGCTAGCCTTGTGAGTGTTGCTTATTTGAAGTTTATCCATATTCACCCCTACAGGTAGGCCAGAAAAATAGCTTCTCATTCAGCTATGAGGGAACACTATACTGCAGGAGAAAAGGGTCTATTGGGGAACCCTCAGTACACACGGCTGAAGGGTGCCATTAGTTTCGGAAAAGGATGTTACTGATCAACTGGATTTAACCTCTGTCCACACAACTATGTCAATAGCATCACATGAACATGCAGCTGTTACTACACAAATACAGATTCCGAGCTGTGCTTCAGAAGGGAAAAGTCAGCCAGTGACCAGTCAGACATGCCCCAAGTAAAACTTGTGATTGTCTCTTCTCATTTTCTTCTTCCAGGATTGACCAATTTTCTTTCTAGCATACCCTTTGGAGTGGGGACGTGAAGCTTTCCACTTTCTGAAGAAAACTGTTAGCTTCTGAGAATACTGTGTGTCCTTTCTTTCTCTTAAGGTTTCCCAAGAAACCATCATTATCCTCCCTTTGCCCAGCAACCCTCCCTTCTCTTTTAACCCTTGATGTACTTGACTATTCCACCCAGTGACTCAAAGCAGCAAACACTAACCACTGTAATACACAGTATGCCCTTGCTGCTGTTGCCAGAGAATCATGGACTGATGGCTTCATTTTCCTGTGCCCTGTGCACTCCATATCCCATTCCAGTTTCAGAAAAAGGGTTTCAAAGGAAAGCTAAGGACAGGGGATTTAGAAAAAGAAGTAAAATAGACTATTAGGATCAGAAAGAAGTAAGTTAATTTTTTTTCATTAAAACAAGAGAGATGCAAAGAAATAAAAACAACAACAAAAAGGAGCCTAGCAACAATAACCTCAGATGTGTGCTGAGGGTTAAGTTCTGTCTGTGAGAACTTGCCTTGTCTATGGCGAGCCTGGGACACATCAGATATTCAGAAACTATTTGTTCCCCTCCTCCTATTTAATACCAATCCCTGACTTTGGAAGGAAGATTTTGTTAGCTGATGTTTCTTACAGCATTTCCCCTTCCTCTACCTCCTGTGTCCTCACGCCACACAACCACATCCTGATTTTCTCTTCCTATTCTGTGTACAATGTCAGCTCCTTGCAGCCCTCAAGCAACCACTTACTTGGTGTTGTGCCTGTATCTTCTATGCACAAAATGAAGCCCAATGATCCAATGTAAGTGGTTCTGGCTCAGCAGAAAGCACTAAAGGCCCCCAAGCCTGGTTGGAGGTTCACACCCAGTAACCTTCCCACTACATCTTCCCTTATGTGCTAGGAACAGAAAGAGGAACTTTGGCCTATTCTGCTCGCAATGTAGAGCCCTTAGGCCAGACCCATCTCTAACACTTTAAAGATGCATCACCGTTAGGCCCCTCCCACTCTGTGAGGCAGGTACTCCATATCCACAACTAGGGTAGTGAGGTAGAAAAAGAAACTGAGGCAGGAGACAATGGGCTCAAAGATTCGTGGTGAGACTAGAACTCCAGCAGTCTGTCTTGACCACATCATAGGAGCATTTTAAAGAGGGTGGCAGTCGCTGAATTGAAATGGACCCTGAGGAATCTGGAGAAAATTTCTACCCTGGGGAAAAAAAAGGTGGTGTGGCCAACCACAGGCCTCAGCTGAGCAGAGAAGCACACTACACTTGATATTTCGTATTTGCCTTGAGGCTCCTCCAGTTCCTCACAGTGCAAAGCCAGGACTGAGAAGGAGATATTTAAAAGGAAATGAATTTGCGGTTATACAGAGTGACAATGCCATAAATGTCTGGTGGGCATAGTGGAGTGTGTGTGTGTGTGTGTGTGTGTGTGTGTGTGTGAGAGAGAGAGAGAGAGAGAGAGAGAGAGAGAGAGAGAGAGAGAGAGAGAAAAAGAGAGAAACAGAGAGAATAATGGGAATATATAACTTAATCTAATTTTAGAAGTATAGAAGCACTCTTATAAGTGTCTTTTTGTTTTCTTTTTGGAAAAGATTTACACAAATAGAAATCTGAGACTTTATTTTTTGAGGTAAGGATGTAATACTTAGGAGAATAAGAATTTCTATCCTATTTATAATATTTAAACTGTACAAGACAATTGCTCATGAACTTTACATAACTAAATTTGAAATGAAAACAGGAAAGTCAGCCAGCAAGAATAGTGTTAGCCCCTCAGCACTGACTGGTAGGAACTTAAGGCATAGCCTACTGTCCATTCTGCCTGGACATAAATTCATAGGCACTGCCCCCCTTTTGCTCCCTACTACTGTTTGAAATCAAACAAAGTGACCATATAAAACAAAACATCCTACTTAGTACAAACTAAAAATGCCTTTGAAATTGAAAAGGGCCAGTATTAGTAATCATAGCAGAGTATCACACACCACTGGGGACAAACCCAAGAACACAGTAACTTCCTGGGCTTTACTTCCAAAGGGTCTTGAAACTCCTGAGATGACTGGGATCAGAAATAAGTAAGCAGACGAAGAGAACTGACTAGCTTCTGACGTGGGAGGTGATGTATGCTGTGAATATGTTTTATTGCCACTGGTTAATAGCAAAGCTACTTTTGGCCAACAGTTTAACAGAGTAAAGCCAGACTGAAAGAGATATAGAGAAAGAGTAGGCAGCGTCAGGGAGATGCCATGTAGCCTAAAAAGGAGACAGATGCACCAGATCTTTTCCTGGTAAGCCACAGCCGGGTGACAATACACAGATTAATAGAGATGGGTTGATTTAGAATGTTAATACTAGCTGGAAATACATTTAAGCTTTTGGCCAAACAATATTGCAATTAATACATATTGCAAATAAATACATATCTCTGTGTGATTATTTCGGGAGTCTGGGCGGCCCAACTACAGGCTTCTTTAGAAAGGAGCAGTGATGGAGAACTAGAAGAGTTCAGTTGAGGCTCTCCGGGCTTTGGAGTTCACTATAATATAATAACCCATGTTCCTATATTCCTAGCAGCTGGTTATATTTATGTTCTCAGTGGCTCATATTAAGTATGGGGATGCGAGGGAAAGATATTGAGAAAACAAGATTATATACTCAGGATGGCAAGTTCTAGAACTCCTCCTCACTCAGAAACAGCTCATAGAGCCTTCTAGGGTCCCCAGAATTGTCCACTAGAGATTCTGGACCCAGGGCAGTGATAGACAAGGGAATGTCTCTGAAAAGCACAATATAGCCATTTGTCACCAACAGAGGTTTTCTCAAGCATTCTTCTGTCTAACATTGTCATATTTCTGCAATCTGAAAATGAAGCAGGCCAGTGTCCTTCATCAAGAAGAGCTGTGAAAACATGGTTCCTTGCAGAGAGACAGTGGTCACATGGAGAGGTCAGAGAAGATGGGGGAAAAGTAGGCTAGGCTCCACCAGCAAATTGTCCCAGACATGTGGAGGTAAGATTTGAAACAGCCAAAGGGACAGATTGCATTTTATATGTGCAACTATTTATCAAAGGAAAACGGAAACAACAAGGAAGAATGCAATTTTAAAATACATTACAGAGGTCCTGAGTGTGGCTCAGAAGATGTGCAGAAAATGCAGGAAGTCCTAAAACTCAAGCAGCTACAGTTAGTTTTAATAATAACACGAAGCATAGTCTAAACAAGTAAAAGTAACAAAGAACCTTCCTCAGTTAACTTCACTGCCACTATGGTAAGGATTTGTGAAAGTGAAGAGCTGAGGGACCTAGGGAACGGCTCAGCAGGTAGAGCAGTATCCAGCACCCAATAAAGATCCAAGTGTGATAGCGAGTGCTGGTCGTCTCGGGGCTACAAATGCAGAGACAAGTGGGTCGGGGGCATCGTTTGCCAGCAAATGTATTCAGTTAGTAAACTCCAGGTTTAGTGAGAGACCCTTCTTCAAACAATAAGTTGGAGAGTGACTAGGGAGGGCTCATGGTACTGATAACTCCACTCCTGCTGGAAGCACCATGGCATTCTAAACAATGGCAGGGCTTGCTAACTAAGTGGGCCTGCTCTTTCTTCTCCCGAAGTCGTCTTCTCACACAGCCGGAGGGACATTCCTAGGACATAATTATGGCCATGAGGAATGTACTTAGGATCCTGCGACTACTGTTGCATTGAATGTAAGACCCTGCAATGTGGCGTG